GTGTGGGGGAAGCAAATGCAGAGTTGCAGGCTGGGGAGATGACATATTTTTATGTGCTTGCAATAGCAGAATAAAGAGAGGGAAAAAAAAACCCCAAACTGTTTACAAACTTGTAGTGAATTCAACTTCCACATGTTAAAACTTGTGTCCTTACTGTTTGTTTCATGCTGGGCCAGTGGAACTAACTTTTTTCATACAAAGCCAGACATTTATGTCTTATGTTTAAGGCTTGTCTTAGTAAAACCTGCCATAATTCTGTAAGGAGGTAGGATTTTTTTTTTAATGAATACACTTTATTAAAGGATTTGAAGATAAGAATGAAAGAGACAGAAGACTTATCTGTTCACACAAATGCCACCTCACATTCTCTGTATTTCCCTTCGGAGGAAACAGAAAACAAAAGCCTAGGAAGACACTGGATGTCCCTTGCAGAACAGTTTCTTGCTGCCTTCTGAAGCAGTAATTGTACAATTAACCTACTGGGGATGCATCATCTTCACGGCATCACCAGCATAACCTTATCTTACCCTTGTACAATTACCAAACTTCTGGCTTTAAAAGATGAGCCAGAAACTGGTCCTGAAAGATTAAGTAGCTCAGTGCAAGCATCCACTACAGTGCTAGCAGTGAATACCTTGGTTACAGAGCCTGTGCCTGCCCATCACAATGATGCATGTGTACATAAAGCAAGTGTTACTTCTATGTCCAGACACATAACAAGAGAGGAGAGATCTGAAAGCCGAGATCTGTGTATTCCAGGCTTCCAAAGCGGCCAGGCTCAGCACCAAGAGCAGCCAGGAGAGGTGGCAAGCAGCAGAGCTGCCAGGGCTCTCCTTCCACCACAGCTCAACCTACAGCTGCCAAGTGCAAGTACTTGCCCTTTTCCGCCCTCAGGGAAAGTGGAAACAACATAACTGAGCTCTGAACTTCTGAAATGCAAAGAGGTGATGGTGGTATTTGTGGATGTTCAGTTCCGCATCACCCGATGCTTGAGCTGGAAGGGGCAGTCACTGTCTAAACTCTGCTGCAGCAGCCGAGTCAGAACGTAGAGTGAGCCACTGGAACAGGCACAGGTGGGTAAAGACTGTACACACAATTGTTTGCCACCTGCAGTGAATGCAAGTTTAACATGGTTTTACAGTCTTCCTGCTATACTGTCAAAAGCCATTCCATCTGTAACATGCTACACTGGAATGCAGGTGTCTAGAACTACAACAAACTGCTTCCATGAGTATCTTTTATGTACAGGATAAAGGAATGTCGATACAAGTCTTCATTAAAATTAAGAATTCTCTATTAAAAGACTTGGAAATCTGTGTCTAACAGGTACAGCTGGCACTAGTACACAGTGATTACACTGCTGAAAAGCTTTATGAAAGTAAATACAGAACTTGTGGCTGTGTATATACCTTTTAAGGAATATACACTGGACACTCCTGCACAGCTTGTAAAAAAGTCACTTTCACCCCCACCCCCAGATGTTCACTGCACACCAGCCCAGAACAACCCAGAGGTTCTAACATGCATCCTTGTGCCTGGCCTGGACCAGACCAGTGGATGTGCTGAAGGCTTCCCCATACACACTTTGCAGTCATACACCATCAGCTTTTACAGCCAGAAGGTACTTGTGCAAAGCAGTTGTCCCTCAGCACATAAAACCCCTGGCTGTAACAGGCAGAGGTTGTCAGGTTATTGCCACAGAACAGGGGAGTCTGTCACAGGAAAACAGATGACATGCTGACCCATCTCATATCTTACTTGTTCGGGGTTACTGGCTGGAAGCAACATGGATGCTGTTGGTGCCTCACAAGTTAACTACTGACATTGCAAACTCCTCACATTAACGTATCAGCAGGTAGGGCCCCATTGTGCCAGCTGGTTGTTTTATAGACAGCAAGACCAAGGTGTATTTGCCCAGCAAGTTTATTACACAAGTTTGAAACCTACAAATGCTGCAACTTTGCCAGGAGGAAGCCCCAATACATACAGTGCTACTGCTCTTCAGTGACTAGCCTTGCTACAGCTTGTCAGGCTAATCCTCCAAGTCAGACTAGAAGTTTTGGTGTTCAGGATGTGATCACTACTAAACATCTTCCATTACACAGAACAGGAGTTCCAGTTAGTGAAGATTATACTTAATGGTTACAGCAGATGCTTTAGCAGAAGACTACAGAGGCATTCCATCGGGGTCACTTTAATTGCAATATACATCATACAAAATCAAGTCAGTCTTGCAGAGTAGTAATGAAGTGATAAATCTTCTGCTTGCACAAAGAAGGGCAAGTACAGCATTTGCAGTGACATACAGCCCATTTATCACTGTTACCTTAAGCATTTCAGGTACAATACTTAGCTCTTGGCTATTCCAATTACACCACAAGCTAAACGAGGTCCAGCATTTCCAGTTAATTTGCTCTCATTATCTCCCCCTCTACCCAGGTCATCACGTTTTTCATGGACCTAAAAAGAGAATTGAAGATACCTTAATTCATGTTATTGCATAACTAAACATTTTTCACTACTCATTAGTAGCAGCAGTGACAGGCAGTATTGCCAGCTACCAGCAGGGTGTGTTACACAGAACCTATTGTATTTCTGTCATGCTGAATGCTGAACTGATAACTTAGGGCTAGACTTGCCTAAAGATGAGTTGCCTTCAGCTGAATTTGTTTGAACTGCAAGTCACCCAAACCCCCATGTTTCAGAAAGCTATTGCTAGTCCCAGAGCAAGCTTGTACTTGACATTCATGTTCACCCTTCTGACCCAAGGCTGACCACTGCACTGCAGGTGCAGTGCCTTGGCCACACCACCCACAGTACTACACGACACACCTCCTGCTCCTTGGCCATCACTCCAAGCCCATTTCATGCAGGAGTATGGTGATCTCAGCAGCACATACTGCAGTCTCGAGGGAAACAAGACAGGCTGCTCATCTGCAGCCCAGTCCACCCAGCCTCTGCCTCCCTTTTTCCCAAGGAGGCCATGGCACCAGTTACACCAGCAGCCACCAGACCAGTACTAGTCAACAGTACTCTCCAGTGCCCACTGCCACACCTTTCAGTGCCAGATTGCCAGTGCCTTCCCCAAATTAGGTTGCTTTAGTCACCCACAGCTGGAAGGAGCAAAGTTAAGCAGAAAGGAATATCTTCAGGGCAGCAGGCAGAAAGACAAGTTCTCATGGCAGTGAAATACCATACTATTACACAAAGGACTTTCAGGCAAGGCTTCAAACAACTCCCCACTCTGGAAATCTTGCACTCCCAAGTTCTATAACAAACACCAGAGACTGGCCTCCAGCATCAAAAAAAAAAATCTCCACTCACTGGCAACTCCACTCTGGAGTTCCTTAAAGCATCCCAGTAGGCACCAAAACACTTACCACCATGGTACGTCCAATGATGCTATGTGGCCCGCTAAGAGAAATGATGGGATCTTCTATTTCCACTTCTGCCACTCCACCTTTAGCAGTCACATTGCCAAGGTCACCCACATGCCTACACAAAGATGCAGAGAAACTCATAGAAAGCTTGGTTAAACTGAAAGCCCTTCTAAGTGATGGCCTGGACAATAAAATACCCACAGTTACTAGACTCAGGTACTCCACTGTCTTATCTTAAAGATCACACATCCTCATTTACCACCACCAGTCAATCTTGAACACTCCCACTGTTTTAACTCCTTTAGTTCAAGGGATAATTAAAATTCAGTCCTAGGTAGAACTTGAAACTAGAAGGTTAATCAACTTGAGGGAAAGCAATGCCATTACTCCCTAGGAAGCCAAGCCAATAGTGCACAACTCCTAGGTAAGAATTCCTCCATGCTGATGGCATTTCCCTTCTGCTCAGAAAGTCTCTTAAATTAGGCAAGAGAACCTTTCCTGCACATACAAGGCTTGGTGTAACACTGCCACTATTCTTAAGAGCTTTTAATGTATATCAAATCAGCTATTCCACAAGCAGCTGTAGGCTTTAGGTTTAAATAGGACTAGCAAAAGTAGTTTGTCAAGTGACAGGTCAAAGGGGATGCATTAAGTGCTAGCAAAGTGCTAATCAGTACCAGGGATGACTACTCAAGTTCGCTTGGTATTTTCCTATACACTTGGCATTATACTCTACCACAGAGTTTTGATCAGAGCTAGTTCTCTGCTAGGACTTCCCGTAAGTCTCAAGCAGTTCAGTTTTCACTGAACTTCTAGGCATTCCAGCATATTGTTTCCTACACATCTGCCCCAAATAAACCATTCACTCAAAAGACAAGTTGAAGATATCCTGCAAGACTTTTCTATCCAGACTCAGAGCCTCAAATACCAACTCATTTCTAAACTCTCCATGCATGCAGGGTCACCAGCTCACTCAAAGCTGACTACCCAGCTTCTTAAACAGCATTTAACCACATTTTTAACCAAATCCTATAGAATCAGGTCAAGAGCAGTTCTCCCTGTAGGAATTTGCTCGATTTAAGCTTGAGTTCAATTGTTTCAACTCTACACTGATAGGAGCATGATCTAGTTCTCATACCTTCCTACAGAATTCCCCAGCCTACAGCTGCCAGAGCAGGCAGGTTACACCAGAAGCAGAATTTGACAAAGCAGAACCAGCAGAAGCCATGATGTTCATGCAATTTTTTTTTGACCTTTAGCACTGGAGCAGTTGGCTGCCTCTGAAGCCCATGAGCACACCATTTCATGCTGCTCTCATCCAGACAGCTGGCTAGCTACCAGCTTGCTTGGTCTGGCATGCAACTGATCACTCAGGTATGAATTTATCAGTCACAGAAGGTGCAGTTACAGACATAAATGTGAGCACTCAAAAGCTAATCAAAATGCCAAGTTGGTCACAATGCCAGTCCAGACCCTACCTGTGCAAGACCAGCCTATCTTTTACACTTGTTTCTAGCTCCTCTTGCTACCACACTGGCCTTCAGCTCTTGTGCAGCCCCTTCCCAGCCCCCAAACCCAGCCAGCATACTATTTAAACCAGTTGCTCAGACATGCAAGGGTTCCCTGAAGGTAACTGAACTATGAAACTGCTTCCAGGGAAGAACTAGGCCTCAGCTCCCACTGATGTACAGAGATACTCAGCATAAGCATCAGGCCCCGCACTGACACACAGTACACACAACCCCTGAGGGGTACGTACTGTAGGTAACACGGTACCTAAGCTAACAAGCTAAAAACAGCCCAGTACACCCCATAAAAAGCCTCCATGCCCAGGCACACACAGCTTTGTACTCATCTCGCAGTCTCCCCTGAAGCCTCAGCACCTTCCACTGATGATCCACATCCGGCACATGACAAGCCTGCATACAGCTCAACAATTGACAGTTTAGGGCCCCTGTTGTGAAAAGCTGGCCCCAAAACAGAAGCAAATCACCTCTGACTAAATAAGGCTTTAACACATGAACTCCCCCCACTCATACCCTGAGGAACCTTCACTCAGTAAAAGCCTTTATTTCCTCTTCCCCCCATGCTACAATAAAACCAAGACTATGTCCCAAAGACCACATTTTACCCACACTCTTGGAGCCAAGGTGTCTAACAAATCCCCATACAGTTATGAGAGCCTTTAAGTGACCCTAGAAGTTTTCCTGGAATTACCAATTTTCTTCTGGTATTGTCCTAGCATTATTCATGAAGTGGCCTCCCAAGCACAAAATAGCACTTAGATGGCTGCTGCACGCAGTAGCTACCCAGTAAGAGGCTGGGCACATTAAACTCACCTTTCTGCATCACTTGGTCCACCATGCTGCTTGCCTTCAGGATTGAAATGAGAACCTGCACTGGTACACCCTGAAATAGAACACAGCCATCAAAAGTAGATTTGATTTTTTTTTTTACAATAGCCAGTTAATCTGTTGCTTATACACTAGACCAAGGTAGTCCTCCTGTAGCCAGAGAGAGGGAATTCACTAATGATGAAATAGGTACTCTCTTATTAGATGTTCTACTAATCCTTTGGAGGTAATCAACCTACTACAGACTTACAAATTCAATTAAGTAAGACTACTTATTCTAGAACACTCTGGGCTCAGCTGAAAGCTTTCTGGTTTCTTAACATCAGGTTAAAGTATTTAGGTTAGTGCTTGGCACATCAGATCTTGAGCACCAGCCTAAACATGTTCAACATATTAAATGGGAAGCAATTCTTTAGGAAATGTCATCCTTTATTAAAACAGATTTGCAGTCATGAGATCTGCTAAGTATACTTATACCAGTTGCTGCTGCAACACTAAAAACAGCTCTTTAAAACTGAGCAATCACATTACAGCTGTAATTCAAAAGCTCAGACATCTTACCATTTGTATTGTCACCAAATTCATGGACATGGAAGCCATGATCTCCATCAGCCAAGCCACTGATTCTTCCAGTAACTTTTACTGGTCCGCTACCCTTTAATGAGAAGAATTTATTATCAAAGTGACTACAATATTAAATGGCCTTGTGTCAAGCAAAGCTTCCTAACTCAACAGAAAGCACTAGAGACTCCACTACAAGTTCAGCTACCAAGACATGAATGATTACCCTCCTACACTAACATTACATGTGGCAATACAGACTTTCACAGAATAGTTGCATTTATGCAGTCACCTAAAATACACTTTTCTTATTATATATCAACAAGCAAACAGAACACCTTTTATCAGATTACTTGCTTTTGAGAATGCTTACATACATCCATTTGGAAGCATAAGTAATTCTAAAGTAATTTCTCCTCTACAGTATTGCCCATATGCAGTCCTGGCTTCTTCAGCGAGTGTAAGTGACTTAGGGGTGTTCTTGGGCTCTGGCCATTTGGCAGTTAAAGCTCCGTTCAGCCCCACGCTGGCAAACAGGTCCCGCAGTAAGACAGGCCGGCTCCAGCACCAGGCTCAGCTGAACGCCCCCGAGCAGGGGG